GGGAGCCGAGTTCGAAGCGTTGTAAGGGAAGGTGGAGCAGTATAGCGAAGAGGGATGGTGGGTATCGAAGGGTTGGGTTTTTGCTGAATTCGGTCTCCCTCTTCAATGGTTGTGGTGATGAGCAGCAATGGGCTATTTTGTGAGAATGTGAGAGAGAATGTGACAGAGAACATAGGAGAGAGAGAGAGTTGAAGAAAACGTGTTTGGAGACGTGGGAGAGAGGGAGAGATGAGCTCCAACGGGCGGGAACTAAATGTGTATAGACCATTGATCTAAATGTATATGTACTTAGGATTCATCTAGACCATTAAAATCAAATGTATCTCTGATATATTTTAGACATTTTCAAAAACTATTCTGCTTTATTATTATATATATATATATTAAAATGCGGTTTACTTTTAGCATTTCTTAATATTAAGGGAAAATTACAAAAAATATTCCCTGTATTTTGTTATTTTAGTCTCTATAATTTTAATTGGCTTGATTTTGATTATGAATTTCTGACTATTTCAATTTGGTCCAACTGATTACAATTTTAACATTTTTTTAAATAAAATACATATATAAATGTCATGTGTCATATTTTTAAGAGTAAAATTATAAACCTACTCAATTTAGAGATTATTTTTTTATCAAAAAACTAATGACATCATCAATTAGATTAAATTGATACAAAATTTAAAATTAAGGGTTATAATTGAACCTAAAATACAAGAATTCAAATTTAAGACTGGGATGTACAAAGAAATGTGGTGTCCTAGACACCGTGTCCAATCTATTTTGGGGGGTGCATTTAGTGCCACCCATACACAATTTTTTTTCTATTTTTTTGGACAATCTTGTCATTAGTAATTAATTTTATATTTTAAAATTTAAAGTGATATAACTTTTAATCTATTTATTAGTTTTTAATAAAATTAGTATTTTTAAAATTCTCTCGTCAAGATCTATTAAATAAGATCCCTATTGGCTATGAAATTCTTTATAAAAGAAGTTGTAAACTTTTTTTTATTGAAACTAACGTCAACAGTAAAAATTTAGTTTGATTCGCAGTAAAAATTTTGTTCCAATTTGAGTTTTGTTTGGTGAGAATCTATTTATAAATGACGATAGAAGTTTACTTTGAAGAAAACTCCCTTGTTTATTAATAATTATAATGACAATGGTGTTTAGTGATGATGATGGTATTTTACTATTTAAAAATTAAAATTTTATAATAAAATTTACTGTGAATAAAGTAAAACTTTACTATGAGATAAAATAAAATTTTATTGTTGATGTTAATTTTGACGGTAATTTTATTTATTTACTTTAAAGAATTTCATGGCCCACACAGGTGTTTGATAGATATTGATGAGAGGATTTTAAAATGGGATTTTTGGTGAAACCCCCCTTTTGGGCCTTTTTATTAGGGTAAAGGATAACCCAATCAATTTTCTTTCAAAAAGCCCCTGAGTAGGAAATGCCTACCTTAATAAGGATATTTTATAATTTCTATTTTTTTTATCACAATATTGCCCTTCTATATATATGTATCATACATTTGAAATATTTGAAATCTGAGCTAAAGATCTCGCATGAACAAAATTAGGAACGAAATCGATGAAGATGATCTCCAAATCTACAGATCTCGTAGCCAAAGATCTCTCACTTGGTCAACAATAGACGATCTCGTCGTCGACGATCAACACTCTCAATTAAACGAGAGTTTCATTGAGATTTCTGATTGTTGATCAAGTTTTAGAAGTTTTTCTTCTCAATTAGATATGTTAATTTGTTGATTAATTTTTTTTTTTTTGGCTTGTTTTTTTTTTTTTTGAATTTATTTTTGTTGTTTTTGATCTGATTTCATTTGATAGAACCAGAGTAAAATTTTACTTTGGTTCTATTGCTCTGTTTTTTGTTTCAAATAATGAGAGTAAAATTTTACTCTGGTTCTATTGCTCTGTTTTTTGTTTCAGATAATGAGAGTAAAATTTTACTTTGGTTATATTGCTTTGTTTTTTGTTTGAGAGAATTAGAGTAAAATTTTACTCTGGTGTTAGAATGACAGTAAAATTTTACTGTCAAGAGGTGATCATTGCCAAACACTTCAGCCGCCACAAACACAACCTCCGCCTTTTTACTTTTGTGCAGAGTAACATTTTACTTTTAGATTCAGAGTCTAACATTTTACTCGTTTTTCAGAGTAAAATTTTACTTTTATACAGAGTAAAATTTTACTTTTAGTTTCAGGGTGTAGCATTTTACTCTTATTCAGAGTAAAATTTTACTTTTAAATTCAGGGTGTAACATTCTACTCTTAGATTCAGAGTGTAACATTTTGTTTTTATTTCAGAGTAAAATTTTACTTTTATGCAGAGTAAAATTTTACTTTTACATTCATGTCTCAAGTTGTGTTAGTGACACACTATATGAGTTGTCAATCTTTGGCAAACGTAATAGTAAAAATTAACTCTAAAATATAGTACAATGTTACACTAAACTACAGTAAAATTTTATCAACACAAATTGACTTTTAGACTTGTGGTGACAGTAAAATTTTACTTTGATAGTTATAGCAAAATTTTACTTAGATTGATAATAAATTTTTACTGTTAATTGTTTCATATTTCCCCACTTATATGGAAGGACATTTCAGTCAATTCATGACATTTTTTTTAATTGAGGGGCTTTTGGAGTCATTGTTTAATTCCGTGGGCTTCACACAAAATAGGCCCAATGGGAGGGGCTTTCACCAAAAATCCCTTTTAAAAATACTAGTTGCATTAAAAAATGACATCTAAATCAAAAGTTATATCATTTTAAAGTTTAAAATATTAAATTACTCACTAAAGATATTTTGATAATAGTAATATGTGCTAAACTTTTGAAGAAAAACTTTTTATAGTTATCTTTAATAAAATTTTATTATAAAGGGAGTTGATCAAATTCTCCTATTTTTTAACGTCTTCATTAGAATACTCGTTCACTCATTAAATTAAGGGTAAACTATTAATAGATCTTAATAGTTGGACTTAATTCCCATTAACGCCTATTGAAAATAAGTCTTGGTAAAATTGTCGCTAAAAATAATTTTTTTGTGATAATTTTTTATATATGTCGCTAAAAATTGACAATTAGTGACTTTTTTTTTTGTCATGATTTTTATAAATTGTCACAAAAACTTACAATTAGTGACTTTTTTTATGATAAATTTTTTTCATAAGATCTATTAGACAGTAAATCCACTTATTAGGACCTACACGTAAGCAATGGGTCCTAATAGTTGGACTTAATTCCCATCAAGTCCTATTGAAAATAAGTCTTGGTAAAATTGTCGCTAAAAATAATTTTTTGTGACAATTTTTTACATACGTCGTTAAAAATTTACAATTAGTGACTTTTTTTTATCATGATTTTTATAAATTGTTACTAAAACTTACAATTAGTGACGTTTTTTATAACAAATTTTTTTCATAGGACTGATTAGATAATGCGTCCACTTATTAAGACCTATACGTAATATCTTTTTTTTTTTTTCACATCAATGCTATATAACCAGAATTTTTATCCAGAAACATTAATATGGGGTTTAGATTCATTTTGGCATGGACTCCACAAAACACTCATTAATCTCAACTTTGCAATTCTTGGCCAATTTCCTCGTAAACTTTAGTGTTTTTTTTATTACTAAAGGTAGTAGAGCTCTCACAAATAAATAAATACACCTGTAATTTATTACTTTTATTTTTTATGACATATTACTTTTATTTTTCATGATAAATCTGTTAAATAATTGGTTTATATATTACATATTTCAATAGTTAATAAAAAAAATCATGTAAAAACATGAAATGAAATAAATACAGCTGTTAGTTCACATCTTAAATCATTAAATCTTGATTTTTCATTTCAAGTAGGGAAAAAAAGCCAAAAAAAAGAGAAATGTGTAGAAATTAAAGAGAGAGACCTGAAATTCCAATATCGTAGCCAAAGATGACTCCTCTGGTGGCTGCTATCATGCAACATAAAACTACAAAGAATGTCATCCTTCCATTGTACCCCTCTCCACCTTCACTCTTCACTCCCATTCCCACTGCCATGGCTTCCACCAAAGCTCTCTCTCTCTCTCACAGTTACACAGAGAGAGATGATATAAAAGTACTTTTCAAAACTGTAAAATGAGGGGGAGAGACAAAGCAGCCAACTTGACTGCAAGATATCAGCATCAAGATAGATAGCTATACATTCATTTGACTTTGAAGGAACATGTGGGATTGAATTATTGAGTTGGGAAGATATGTAGTCTTATGGGCTTCACTGTCAAACCAACATTCTATCCACTTCACATAATCAAACTTGATCAGCTAACCAATAATAGGGAAGTTAAATGAACACATCCCACAATTGTTGGGAAAGAATCTCTAACAATTTTGAGTACGATTTTTTTTTTTTTTGTATGGAGGGAGGTCCAAGTTTCAGAGGGGAGGAGTCTTACATGTGAAAAAACTTCAACTTTTTTAATTTGTTATTGAGGTATCGAAATTTTAAACAATTGAACTAGTTTCAAATGATTAAGAAGTAATGGAAGGTAGAAAAGAACATTAGGCTTTCTGTAATGACCCATCTAATACAAGTATATGTTGAATTCAAATGGCAAGTTTGGAAACTTTAAAAATAAAAAATAAATAAATAACTATTTTGTCTTCCAAAATCAAGCAAGAGTTTTAAGTTATAACAAAAACAAATGCTAATCCCCTGTTTCATCCATTCATATGCGGCCACATTTGTTTAGCATAAAGCTAAACACAAATTTAGCAAGTTTTTGATCTTACAATAAGATTATGTCACTAAACTAGCAACTAAATAAGAAAACAATGGAAGTGATGAGTTCATTTTATCCTCATCTCATTCTTTCTCCATTTTGCTCACTGTTGGATATCCCAGTAATTTGTTGGAAGAATGCTACAGTTATTGCCATGACAAATGCGGGACTCATAACAACAATGCAAGGATGACACATAAGAATTTGATATCATGGCATTACTTTTGCCACATATATTATTTTTTGAACTGTGCAAGTAGTGAAATTAAAGTAGCAACAAAATTAGAACATTAATGGAGTGATAGTCCACTTTTTATACTCCCTCCAACTTACTCACCTCATACTCATCTCCCACAATTCTCTTCCAAAACCAGTGTTCCCTCCACAATCTATCCATTTGTTCAATTGGCATATTCTTAGTCTCCGGTAGGAACAAGTAAACAAATCCGGTCATCACTACAGCCCAACCCCCAAAAAAGAAGAAAATCCCAGATTTGAAGTGGCAAAGCATTGCAAGAAAACTTTGAGCAACAACGAAAGTGAAGAGAAAGTTCACTGCCACGTTAATACTTTGCCCAGCTGATCGTATCTCTAATGGGAAAATTTCGCTTGGAATTAACCATCCCAAAGGACCCCATGACCAACCAAATCCAGCAACATAGATGCAGATAAAGATTATAACCACAATTGCGTACCCTTTTCCCACCCCTCCATGGTCTCCTAGTTGAGCTGCCATTATACTTCCTACAACTATCTGCGAAACTAGCATTTGTATTCCCCCAACTATAAGTAGAACTCTCCGGCCAAGTTTATCAACTATCATCATTGATATGAAAGTTGAGATGATACCCACAACTCCAGCCACAACTGCCGAGGACAAGAGTGACGCACTTTCGCCTAGACCTATGGTTCGAAAAAGCACTGGAGCGTAGAAGGAGATGACATTGATTCCTGTTACTTGTTGAAAAAATGGTATAGCTATTGCCATGACAAGATGAGGCCTATATTTTCTTTGTATGATTTTCTTGAATGGGTGTTTGATGGTTTTCGATATCTCACTTGCTTTGATGAGATCATCAAGTTCAGCTTGGACATCCTCTGTGCCTCTGAGTCGTTGCAACATCAACTTTGCCTTTTGATGATCACTGTTCTGCTGAATAAGGCTGTTGGGTGTTTCTGGGAGGAAAAGGGCCCCTAGAGTTAGAATTGAAGCAGGGACTGCAGCCATAGCCAGGGAGATTCTCCAACCCCATCCGCCTTTGATCTTTTCGGTGCCATAGTTAATAAGGTTTGCTGATAGAACACCGATGCCAACGCACAATTGGAAGCCATTGCTGATTCCACCTCTATATTTGGGTGGAGCCATTTCTGAGAGATATAGTGGGACTGACTGCACAATAAGCATATCACAATTGACATGTTAACCAAATTTGGGGGAAAAAAAGAAAAAAGATGCTCATATAAATAAAATGAACTAAAAAATGTGAGAAAACAAATGAAATTGACATTAATATTTTTCTTTTTCTTAGTAGCTAGTAAACATTTTAAAAAACTACTAGTAGGGTTGATGCTAACTTGACGAACTAAGAACAAAGAAAGTAAAATTAATCCTAAAAAATGGAAAGAATAGCTAAATACCTGGTTTGCAAAGCCAACCCCAACGCCAAGCAAGACGCGGCCAATTATTAGCATGTACACATTAAAAGCAGCACCACCGAGAGCTGCACCTGTGAGGAATGCAGCCCCTCCTGCAAGGATTGATGGCTTGCGTCCGAAAGCTTTAGTGATTGGTGAGGCAAAAAAGGAAGCGATGAGGCCAGCCAAATATAGGGAGGATGTGAATGAGGTCAACAATTGGCTGTCAAATTTGCAGTAGTTGCTAATCTCGGTGTCCTCTTTCATCTTAGTATTCACCTCTGGGAAAAATTTCTTCAGAAATGGCTCCATTGAGGTCACTCCACCTTCGCATTTCATCCCGTTTGTTAATAAAATTGTTTCGAAGTTTTGCTCTAACCATTTCTTTGGTAGTTACATCCATAACAACAATTATAAGAACAATACTCGATATACGGCCAAATTTTGATTGGAAAACAAAAAGAAAAACTACAACAAAATTGACAAAAAAAACTAAGAGAAGTTTCTTGCTAGAACACAAATATAAGCTGGTCCACCCTGGCCAAAAGCATGCTATGATTATTTTATTCGGATTATTTAGGGGTAAACTGCAGTATGATCACAAAATTTGCCTTTTCATAGAGAATTAATCTACTTGAATATACCATTTTATTTTCATCATTGCTAATTAATATTAAGCAAAGCTAAAGTTAGACCCCACTTTATCTCATATATATATATATTGAAGCATACTTACTCTTTTCTCACACAAACTTTAAAACCGACATATATTTTAACATCTCTATTGGAACTAAATTAACAAATCTTATCATACAAAATTAGCTCTCACTCAATTAATAAACTTTTAACACAAAATTAGAGCTCGCTTTATTTTACATGTACACTTTAAACTACACTTCTAACATTTTTATTAGAGATTGTGTAAGGTAACTGAAACATGACCCCACCAGCCAAATACTTTGTCAAAAGCTGCATGTCCAAGTACATGCTTCTCAGTCCAATTTGTAATAGGTAAGCAATGCTACAGATAAATAAATTTTTCATTAAATTTTTTTATTACTGAATATAAACATAGTGGAACTCTAATAAATAAATACACATGTGACTTATTACTTTTACTTTTAATGATAAGGATATCTGTTAAACAATTGGTTAATATATAACATTTTTTTTTTTTTTTTGAATAGTTAATGAAAAAGAAATCATATCAAAATCTGAAAAGCCATAAATAGAGCTGTTATTTTACATCTTGAAACCTTGAAATCTTGATTTTTCATTTCAAGAAGAGAAGAGAAGCCAAAAAGAAGAGGAATGAAGAAATTAAAGAGAGAGAGACCTGAAATTCCAATATCGTAGCCGAAGATGACACCTCCAGTGGCTGCTATCATGCAACATAACACTACAAAGGATGTCATCCTTCCATTGTACCCCTCTCCACCTTCACTCCTCACTCCCATTCCCACTGCCATGGCTTCCACCAAAGCTCTCTCTCTCTCTCTCTCTCACTGACAGTTACACAGAAAGAGAAGAGAGAAGAGAGAAAAGTACTTTTGAAAGCTGTAAAATGAGAGGGAGAGACAAAGCAGTCGAACTTGACTGCAAGATATCAGCATAGCTATACATTTCTTTGACTTTTAAGGAACGTGTGGGATTGAATTATTGAGTTGGGAAGATTTGTACTCTTATGGGCCTCATGGTCAAACCCACATACTACGCACTTCACAGGATCAAACTTGATCAACTAACCAATAATAGGGAAGTTAAATCACATCACATCGTTGGGAAAGACTCTCTAACAATTTCGAGGAAGATTTATTTATTTTTTATTTTTTGGTATGGCGGAGGTCCCGGTTTTGAAGAAGAGAAGTCTTCCATGTGACAAAACTTGAACTTGTTAATGAGGTAAAACTAAGAGATAATGGAATACAAAAAAGGAGAACTTTAATATGTTTGGATAGATTTTCAAACTATAATTCTATCCTCACATTCTAATATCATGTTTGGATACATCTTTTACATTATATTTCTACCAAAAAAAGAAAACTCCGTGTTAGGCAAGATTTTATTTTATTTTATTTTTATTTTTTTTGCAATTGGCACTTTTTATTTATTTATTTTTAATAAAACAATATTTTCAAAATTTAAAAAAAAAAAATTCATGAGCTTTTAATAGATTTTTGAGTTGTGTGTCTGGTTATGAGTTGTAAGTTTTTGTATCAGATATCATATCTCACATCAAAAATTTCTTACTCAATTCAAAACTTTTTTCAAAACTCATCTACCAAACGAATTTTTTACACTCAAATCATAATTTTAAATCTCACAAATGCAAAATACAACTCTATTCTCAAATCATATTTAGAAAACTCTACCAAACCCTCCTTTAAGCTTTCTGTAGTGACCCACCTAGCACGAGTATGCGCTGAATCCAAATTGCAAGTTTGGAAACTTAAAAGAAAAAAAAAACAAAACAAAATCATTTTGATCATTGACTAGACAAATTCCATGAGCAAAACACTTTCTCACTATTTAAAATATTATAATGAATCTCATTTAAAATTGAGGACCTTACTACTTAACTAATAAAGGAATCGTTTTATTCATTTACACACCTCACGTGTGAACAAAAACCGACTTCCAAGTATGAAATATGGACCCAAATGACATTATTGACTAAGTACTTCTAAATGAATTATTAATGTAAACCTAGAGGCTTCAAAGTAATTTAAGCAATTGGATGCTTCGGATGCCAAAATGGTTGATTAGTAGCCCAATTATGGCAAACAATCAAGGCTTTAGCGAAGTTCTATAAAATGTTTGATATACAAATAGAATTTTTATACAGAAATACGTGACATTTTATCCTCTTTTCATTTTCAACTAAAACACTCTTCAGTATGACATCTAATTTCAACAATGTCACTGTCAGATCATTTTGTCTGAGTTTTTTGTAAAAAAAAAAATTAACAAAAAAAAAAAAAAAAAAAAAAACGTTTGTAAAGCATTTCCCTCTAAAAGCTGCAATGTAAAATTTTTAGAAAGACTAAATAAGTGCACTTTTTGACTTTTTATAAAATATTGGTTGGGTTTGGGTTGGGTTTGAAGTGATGTGTTAGAGAGGTGATGTGACTTAAATAAGATGATGTGATTTAAATAGGATAGTGACTTTTTGACTTTTTGTCTTTTTTCAATTATGCCAAACTTGGCCTTACTCTTCATGTACCCAAAAAAATGTGTTCTCTGTATGCACTGCCATCAATTGTTGGTTCAATTTTGTTTTATAAATCAAGCAACAGTTTAAGTTAATTACAAAAACAAAGACCAATCCCCTGTTTCATCCATTCATGTGTGACCTCACCGGTTAAGCACAAAGCTAAACACAGGTTTTTAGCAAGTTTTTTTATCTTACAATAGGATTATATTACTAAACCAGCAACCAAATAAGAAAACAAGGGAAGTGATGAGTTCACTTTATCCCCATGTCATTCTTCCTCCATTTTGCTCACTTCATGCTCTTCTCCTACAATTCTTTTCCAAAACCAATGTTCCCTCCACACTCTGTCCATCTGCTCAATTGGCACATTCTTAGTCTCAGGCAAAAACAAGTAAGTAAATGCGGTCATCACCGCAACCCATCCCCCGAAAAAGAAGAAAATCCCAAACTTGAAGTGGCAAAGCATTGGTAGAAAACTTTGAGCAATAACGAAAATGAAGAGAAAATTCACTGCAACATTAATACTTTGCCCCGCTGATCGTATCTCCAAAGGAAAAATTTCGCTTGGAATTAACCATCCCAATGGACCCCATGACCAACAGAATGCAGAAACGTAAGTGCAGATAGAAATCAAGACCACTAAAGCATACCCTTTGCTCAACTGTCCATTGTCCCGTAGGTGAGCTGCCATTACACTTCCAATGATAATTAGTGAAACTAGCATTTGTGCTCCACCTACTGTAAGAAGAACTCTTCGACCAAGTTTATCCACCAACAAAATTGATACGAAGTTTGAGCTTGTAGCCACAACCCCTGTCACAATTGTTGACATGAGTGATGCACTTTCACCTAGGCCTATAGTTCGAAAAAGAACCGGGGCAAAGACACCAATGATATTGATCCCAGTTATTTGTTGGAAGAATGGTATAGCTATTGCCATGACAAATTGAGGCCTATACTTTCTTTGTATGATTTTCTTGAATGGGTGTTTGATGGTTTTCGAGACCTCATTTGCTTTTATGAGGTCATCAAGTTCTGATTGGACATCTTGGGTGCCTCTGATTTTTTGCAACATCAATTTTGCCTTATGAAGACCGTTGCTTAGATGAATTAGGCTGTTCGGTGTTTCTGGAAGGACAAGTGCTCCTATAGTTATAATTGAAGCTGGTACTGCTGCCACGGCTAGGGAGACTCTCCATCCCCATCCGCCTTTGATCTTTTCAGTACCATAATTGATAAGGTTCGCTGACAAAACACCGATTCCAATGCTCAAATGGAATCCAGTGTTGATTGCACCTCTATGTCTAGGTGGAGCCATTTCTGAGAGATATAGTGGGACTGACTGTATAACAATCAAAGTAATATCGCATGCTAATCAAATATAGAAAAAAAAATTAAAATTAAAACTATATGAAAATTCCACATCCTTTTCAAATAGCATTTAGAGTTAAATACCTGATTTGCAAAGCCAACCCCAACACCAAGCAAGATGCGGCCAAATATTAGCATATACACATTGAAAGCTGCACCACCAAGGGCTGCACCAGCTAGGAATGCAACCCCCCCAGCAAGTATTGATGGCTTGCGCCCAAAGGCTTTAGTGACCGATGAGGCTAAGAAGGAAGCAAAAAGGCCAGCCACATACAGGGATGATGTGAATGATGTCAACAATTGGCTATCAAACATGCAGTAGTTGCTGGTCTTGGTGTCTTTTTGCATCTTGGCATACACCTCTGGGAAGAATTTCCTCAGAAATGGATCCATGGAGCTCACTCCACCTTCACAATTTACTCCCATGACTTAATAAAATTGTTTCATCACTTTCCTCTTAACCATTACATGATTTAATCCACTTTTGAAAATACCAACTACTACAGGCAAGATCTGCCAAAAAGTTAAGGCAACTAAAACATGAGAAATCCAACAACTATGTCGAAAGCTTTGAGCCCCAAATTATGTGCATTAATTCTCACTACAGAGAAATCATGTGAAATTTTGAAAAGGAAGAAACACAACTATTTTTATTTTGTACCTTTGAAATATTCAACCAGTTAGTAAATTTTTTTATTTTTTTTATTTTTATCGGCAAAAGAATTAATATTTTATTAAATAAATAAAACATTACGAGAAGGAAAGGAAAGTGTGATTAGGCATCAATTTAGGGAAGCTAAATAGCTTAAATCTAATTCGATGCAACAAACATGTACATTTAGTTAGCAAGAAACCAACAATAACAAAACTCCTAATGAAGACTAAACTCTTACAACTAAAACTCGTGTAGATTCTTTCATCCAAAACGACTTTAAATTCTACAAATCACTTTCAGTTCATTTTCCTCCGTTTCTGCCCTTAATTTCACTTATATTATCCATTGAACTTGTACCACCATAAGCATCTCAATCAATTAAGTAATCCTTTAATACATAACTAATGAAGTAACCGAGTTAGTTTAGTCGACCACTTCTGTATGCTCCTATTTAGGATGTTAAGAAATCATTCTTTGTCGAAAGCAATAATTTATTATTTCTCTCTTACTATGAGGATTCTTTGTTGTGTAGAATTGTTAGTGTATATTAGTGTATCATCATTGTGTTTGTTAGTGTAGTGTAGCATTATGTTAGTGTAGCATTATGTTAGTGTAAGTGTATATTAGTGTATCATCATTGTGTTTGTTAGTGTAGTGTAGCATTATGTTAGTGTAGCATTATGTTAGTTATTTAATTGTTCAAACATCCAAGGCATCCTCTATAAATAGAGTGCCTTCTTTGTGTAATAAACATGTACAATTCATAGAAACAATTGTGCCTCTCTCTCTCTCTCTCTATTCGCTCATCTCTATCTTCTCTCACTTTCTCCAATTATTATTTCATGGTATCAGAGCACAGTGTTACATTTCTGGCAATTTGCGATTTTGGTGTTTAGTCTCATCCACAGCGGCACTACATCAAACCACTCGGAATTTCCTCATGATTCCAACGGCACCAAGCCCGGCCTCAGAAAACCTTTCACGCGCCCACACGCGCCGCCAGTGTCCACTGCGCGTCATCATTTCCGCCACCACTCTCACACGCGCCCGCACGCGCCATCCGTTGTAATAACAAAACTCCTAATGAAGACTAAACTCTTACAACCAAAAATCGTGTAGATTCTTTCATCCAAAACGATTTTAACTTCTGCAAATCACTTTCAGTTCATTTTCTGCTGTTTCTTCCAACTTTCAATTTTTATTTTAGATCCCTTCTCCCATAGTGGCTTTCTGCCCCTAATTTCACTAATATTATCCATTGAACTTGTACCACCATAAGCATCTCAATCAATTATGTAATCCTTTAATACATAACTAATGAAGTAACCGAGTTAGTTTAGTTGACCACTTCTGTATGCTCCTATTTAGGATGTTAAGAAATCATTCTTTGTCGAAAGCAATAATTTATTATTTCTCTCTTACTATGAGGATTCTTTGTTGTGTTGAATTATTTATTTTCTTCAATTATAGGCTATTTCTTATGATGGTTATTGGGTTTCTAATTCTGTATTGTCAGATTATAATTATCAATTTTGATGTAATTCTTTTTATATTTATAATTTTTTTCACTGAATGACAAAATGATTAATAATACATAACTAGGTAGATCTCTTGTCTGGATAACCCATGGTTAGAGTCAAAGAGTATGAACTGTACAAGTTACAAATTTTTTTTTTTTTGGGTGACAAAATTACCAATAAAGCTGATTAAATGAAGTTAAGAGGCTAGTGAGAATTTTTAAAATAAAAAGTGAAATCAAAGTGTATTACAATACACGAGATTAAAATTTTGAATTTTTATTCGATATGACTATTTGATATAATATATTATTTATCATGAACTTAATTAGTAGATATTTACAATTAAAAGTCATACATTGTTGTCGTTATATATCAATTAAAAAGCTTTACTTCTTTTTCAAAAACTATACAAAAGTGAATAAAAAGATTTACAAATGTTATAATTTTGTCTCCCAATGCACGGATTCCGAAATTTTTTTTATCGAATAAAAAAAGCAGATATTAGATGAGGATATCACAGCATTTGTGGGCCTTGACCTCAAAATAATCGGTTGACAGTCAGATTTTTTATTTTTTTTTCAATTTACTCCTAAAACTAAATTTTTTGCAAAAATAGATAAAAAAGAATCACGTTAACTGCCACATAACATAAAAAATATAATATTATAGTGGGATTTGGATTTGTGTAAGAGATGTGAGTCATGTATAAGGAAAATTTTATAGGGTGTGTACCATATGCACATTGCTATGTGTTTTTATGATGTATTACATATTTTTGTGGTAATGTTATATAATTTTTTGTTAGAAGTTATGACAATTTGTGGTTGAAAAATGAAGTTACACATTTTTGAGGTATTTTTACACATTTTGTTATTAGAAAATGTTTGGATAAAAAAATGTATAACATTACCATAAAAATATATTTGTAATATTTACTATAAAAATGCATAACATCCATATGGTACACACCTTTTGAAATGGTGCATATGGTTACACAAAAGGGTCTACATCATAGTGTTTTCTACAATAAAATATTTTGATGTCACCTGGCTATCTTTATGTTATTTTTTTGTTTTGTTTGTTTTTTTTTTTTTTCTCATTGTAGACATAAATTAGCTTTTGGTGTAATGGAAAATTTGAAATATAAAGGGTCAAAAGTAATAAATAAATAAATAAAATAAAATAAAAACTACTTATGAGACAAAATGAGAAAACGGCCAAATATAAATGGCGCGAAGAGTAATTTCCTCTTTTATTTCGGCATGCCCTCCATTAATGCGTGGTTTGAGATTGGCCCTTTTAGTAATTTTTCTATTAATTTTAATTTTAAAAATTTCCAAAGTCGGACACTTTTATATAAGTTGTACTCAACTAGACTAACTACAAGAGTAATAGAACAGAAAATTCAAATATATGGAGAAAAAAAAAATCCATTAAAACATAAAACAAAAAACAAAGCAAACATAATCAGGGTTTTTTTTTCAGTCTTTAACAATTTTTATTTTTTTATTTTTTTTAGGTCATCATATACTAGATGAATAAAAAATAAATAAATAAAATAAAATTGACTAAATTAAAAAAAAATAATTATACATTTATTTTTTCATTTTTTGATGAATAAAAATTAATAATTAATTGTTAAATTAACACGTAAGAACCTCTTCTGTTAAAGGATCCTTTTCTATTCCACTACCACTCTGGTAAGAGTTAAATGGAGATGGGGTATTTTTTATTTTATTTTATTTTTGTTTGGTGAATAAGTCATAGAGAAGGGTACTGTTGTGCCTTAGGCGGAATGGGGGATATGCTATGCCTCAAGGCACCTCTTGTGGGAGATTGTCCCGAGTGTTTTTTGATAATCTGAATTGTTCATATTGTAGAGTTCGTTAAGTAAATCATTCATGTAAAAAATCAATTTGATTGGATATCTGTAGTCCTATTGGTGAGTTGAACACACGGCAAACATAGCAAGCAAGAGAGAAACACACTGCTGAGAGAGAGGCACAAAACAGAGAGAGCTAGTGAGAGCTATATTCTGTTTGTGTATCAGAGAGTGTGAGAGAGTGTGTTATATAGAGAGACAGTGAGTTGAGAGTGTGTAATCTCCTCCATTTGTTGATATATAACAACATCGCTCCCGTGGACGTAGGCCGGTTTGCCGAACCACGTTAAAAGTCTTGTGTTTTTGCTTGTGAGTGTCCCCTGGTGTGCACAAGATCCGCAACAATTGGTATCAGAGCCCGGGTGGAGAAAAATCGAGTTTTTTTCGAAAGTATCCAGATTTCAAAGTGGTCGAAATCCACTTTTGAGCATACCAGGAGGAAGGTCAGGAGGAGAGGAGTCCAAAACTTCAAACCACAGGCCAATCGGAGCTCTAACATGCCGCCACGCGCCACCTGAAGATCGAGAGTGAAGGCCACTCGCACCCACGCGCCCCACGCGCCGACGAAGGAAGAAGACGAGTGGGGGCGCGCGTGAAGCTGACGTCAGGCTGACGTCATCCTGAGCCGAGCCGAGCCGTCGAGCCGTTGACCGCGCCGCTGACCAGGCCGAGCCGCGCCGCCAGCCAAGCCGCGCCGCTGAGCCGCCGTTGACCGCGCCCCTGCGCCGTTGACTGAGCCATTGACTGAGCCGTTGACCAGTATATAGAGAGACAGTGAGTTGAGAGTGTGTAATCTCCTCCATTTGTTGATATATAACAGCATCGCTCCCGTGGACGTAGGCCGGTTTGCCGAACCACGTTAAAAGTCTTGTGTTTTTGCTTGTGAGTGTCCCCTGGTGTGCACAAGATCCGCAACAACCTATAACTAAAGTACATTTGTTTTTTAAAAATTAACGGTTAACATAACCTTTATAAATTTTTTAAAACAATTAAGACTTGATCATGGGGTTATGGATATCTGATTAACTTGATTTTTTACATAAATAATATTCTTAACGAACCCCACAATATAAACAGTTCAGATCATTCCGCCTTAGGCATAGCAATTATTACTACGCCTTTTGTAGGAGATTGTTCGGAGTGTTTTCGATAATCTAAATCGTTCATATTATAGAGTTTGTCAATTAGACTATCCATATAAAAAATCAAGTTGATTGAATATCTATAACCCTATAACCAAAGCACATTTATTTTTATAAAAATTTAAGGTTAACATAACTTTCATAAACTTCTAAAAACAATTACGACTAAATCATGAGATTATAAATGTCTGATTAATTTTATTTTTTACATAAATAATATTATTAACTGCTGTGCCTAATCTTCTCCACAAAGAGACTTGGTGACTAACCGGTTAGTCACAAAAGTTACAATTCCTCGATTTATCCCCTTGTTGTTTTGGGATCACCCTTACTATACACTGATTATTGGATTAAAAAAAAAAAAAATGAAAGATTGTAGAGAGAGAGAGGAAAACCTGAAATTCCAATATCGTAGCCGAAGATGATTCCACCGGTGGCAGCCACGATGCAAGACAACAGAACAAATGATGTCATCCTTCCTTTGTACCCCTCTCCACCTTCACTAACTACTTCCATTCCCACTGCCATGGCTTCCTCCAAAGCTGTCTTTTCTCTCCCTCTCTCACTCACTCACTCAGAGCATCCCCAGCAGATGCCTAAAAAGAGAGATCGCAAGTCACAGAGAAGTCCAACGCGAGAGATCAATATCATTGTCACTCACCTACTCCCTCCGTCCCAAAATATTGATTCCTTTTGAGAATCCAACTTTTTTTAATAGTACATTTATTGCATTTGAAAAAAATTAATTTTCTAAAATTACCTTTTTGATAGTATATTTTTTGGGAATATCAATGTCACAATTGTACTTTTTAAATTGTTTATTAATTTAAAAGAAGGGCAAAATAAGAAATTTATATTATTTTTGTACTTAATTTATAAAGAGGGACTAATATTTTGGGACAATAAAAAATGGAATAAGGGACTAATATTTTGGGACGGAAGAAGTATAAAAAATAGAAGAACTTGACTTTTCTTCCGTCTTTAATCGACCTGAAAAAAAAGTATTGTTAGATTTATTCGGCCTATTTTTGGATTTGGTTCCGACAATTTAAATAGTTTATATTTTAGAATTTGTCCAGTATAGTATATTTGTAAAAAATTAAGTATAGGATAATAACAGCTACATATTTGGATTCGTTTTGTATAAAAAAATAAACAGTTATAAAATAAACGATTCATGCAAAAACTGATAAAAACACATAATTATAGTTATTAAATCGACTTAAATTTTTATAAAAATGATATATTTAATAAATCTTTAAATATAAACATTTTCAATTATGGAAACAGGATCTAAAAGTTAACCCAATAGATTTAATAACACCTCTTCAATTAAAAATTGAAGAGAAGCCCACCCTAAGATATTCATGATGAATAAAGTAGTTGAAAAATAACCATTGCTCACTGCTACTGACAACAACCAATCCCTAACAATTCTCAACAACCACACATTATTTAATGAAAAATGTTGGTAGTGTTTGGTAAAATTTTAGAATTATAATGTGATAATAGAGTTGTATTTTGAGTTTGTAAGTTTTAAAATTATGATTTGAGTGTGAAAATTTTGTTTGATTATGAGTTTTGAAAAGAGTTTTGAAAAAAGTTTTAAATTGAGTTTAAATTGAGTGATGTGACATATGATATTTGATACAAAAACTTACAACTCATAACTAAACACACAATTCAAAATTCTATTCAAAACTCATATAAAAATTTAAAAAAAAATCACAAATATTATTTTTTTGTAATATAAAAATAACAGGAGAAAAAAAATAAAATAAAAAAATAAAAAACCGAACACTATTCCGGTCAAAAGATTGGACAACCGGTTAGTCTAAATTTTCCCGCCTTGAAAAGAGTTTTCAAAAGTGAATGTGGAATTAATTTTTGAAAACGTTAAACAAACACCACACTCAAAAGTGAGTGTGAAACTATATTTTGAAAACTCCACCAAACGAAACCATTATAAATTCTAAATTTTTTATTAAATAAATTATTAAATATCTCATACGAATATAATCATGTGAAATATTTGATCATATATTTAATAAAAAATTCTTGCGAGTTGAAAAATTTGTAGTCTTAGAGCATCAGCATCAGAGTCGCTACAACAACTTTGACGCTATTGTAGAGAACTAAACTGTAAATATGTTGATGCATTAGACTCGCTATGGGCTTCATTCATTTTGACAAATCTACAGTTTTTCCTCTGATGAAACGAGGAACTGTTCATAGAGTAATCAATTTTTTATTATATTTTCTTTCTTGCGCTTCTTTCTCCCGCCAACAAGAACACAATCTCTCATACCACCATTACTGTCAACACTTACCAGAGCTATCACACAAATTTCATTCTCACCATCTTCGAACTGGAGCAAAACTGAACTGGAGCAAAGCTGGGGTCGTCCCCCAGGATGTCCCTCCGGATGTCCCATGAGAAGAAGAAAAATACTAAAATTTTGCTTAACCGGTCGTCCGGCCGGTTGACCAGCCGGTCAGCCACTGTAGCTCCTGTGTTGCTGTTGTTCTGTTATTACTCCGGTGCTATCTTGTGTCTTATTTTATACCTGTTTTAACATTATTTTGCACTCCAAAAATATGATTAAACACAAGAAGCATTTAAGGATTATAATGATTTAATTAAACTTTTCCAATTCAATTATAATCCATTTTTCATTACTAAAACAAATAATTAAAAACATAATAAATTTATTTGCCACAAAATAATTAAAACACGACACAATAAAAAATAATATTTTAATGAAATAGAATTTTAAAATAGAGAGTTTAATGGAATGTGTATATAAAAAAAAGACTAAGTAAAATACAGAAGTAAATTTTAGATTATGATTTGACTCAAAATTTGCAGAGGTAGATGCGGATGCTCTTATGCTTCATTGTCAAACCCACATGCTACGCATCACATATATTACAATGAAAGCTGTACATACTACAACAAATATTATTTTTGATAATATAATATATTTTTAAAAATGTTATAAAATATTGCGGGTTAATATTATTTTGTAAAAATGTTGTAAAAACTATTAGGTGGATAATATTACTTTTTTAATAACATTTATTTTAATTATAATAGCTTTTCACAAAAGCTTTGTAAAATTAAGTAAATTTAAGACTTCAATGACATTTTGTAAGTGTTATGAAAAACATTAAACGAAAATCCCTAATATTTCTTGTTTCCTACCTTGTCGACACTCACTTTTTGAGGCAGTTTTCACTCCTACAACAAACCCTCCTCAAATTTCTCTTTTGCTCTACTAGTATTCTGGAAACAATCGCAAAGGTAATTATTTTTCTCTACACACTTCATTGTTTTTTCCTTTTTTCTTTTTCCTTTTTTTTCCCCTTCTGTGAGTTATTTTCTATACACTACAATATATGTGTGTGTTGAAGATTACGACTGGTCAAAAAATATATATAAAAAGGTTTGATAAATTAAGATGATTTAAGTTTTATTTCTGTAACAATAATAATAATAATAATAATAAATTTTACTTGGATTCATATGAACAATAAATAGAAGAACATGGATTTTCTCTTTGTTTTTTCTTAGATGATTTTGCTGGATGCACTACACCATATATGAGTTTTAGAGGTTAAATTTTTTGGTCTTTAAATATAAAAATTTTGATGCAAATGGCATTTAAGAACCGATTTCTATTATTGTGAGGATAGTCGCTAAAAGATCATTCAAAAAGTCAAAAATAATACTTTTAACGACAAAATTTTGAAAATGTCACTAATAAATACACTTTTTGGGACAAAATAATTTGGTCTCAAAATAATTTATTTTTGGAGATAAAAAATTTGATCCCAAAAAGATAATAATTCATCACTAATGTCCAATTTTCGTTGCTAAAAATATAATAACGACACTTTCGTAACAAAAATATTTGATCCCTAATAAATAATTTTGTCTCTAAATTTTGATCTCTAAAATCTTAATTTTTTATAGTGATGTGTGTTTGTTTACTATGCTTGGTTATCATTTTTTAAAAACACTTTTCAGAAAATTTTAATATTTTATTTTTCGTATTTTTTTGTTTTTACTAAATTTTTTAAATATTTTGAGCAATTTTTAAAATTTTTAAACATACCTAACATACATATACCTAAAAAGTAAAAAAAAAAATTGAAAAAAACCTTTTAAAAATTCACTAAATACCAAAAATACAAAAAAAAAAAATATGAGAATTCAGTATATTTTTTGCATTTTTATGTATTTATTAATTTTCATAATTTTTTTACTTTTTAGATACATCTAAGTAAAGTGCATCTAAAAAAGTAAAAAAAAATGTTTAAAATTTTAAAAATATTCACTAAAAATAAAAAAATGCGAAAACCAAAAAACTCAATTTTCAAAAAATTTAATTTAAAAAACTCAAACTAATTCTTGGGGTGATTTTACATTTATGTGAGAATCATGCTATGAGAAGTGCATAATTTGTGACTAAAATAGATTTGGGTTTCAGAAAAGATAATGTATTGAATTATTTTCTTCGTAAATTTGTTTTAGATGTCAAATATATGTATATATGTGTGTGGATAAGGATTGATTGATAATTTTCATCTATTAATTGATTAGTCTGTATAGAGAAATCTATAACGTGCACTCAAAAAAAGCATATTGTAAAAAAGTTGAGATTTTTTTTTATAAATTTTTGTAATGTGTTATATGCTAATTTGTGATAAAAATTTATGAATGAAGAATTGAAATGAAAATTATAGTTCTTGGGGGTGAGAAAAAAAAAATACTTTTCGTGATGAGAAAATTATACTTTTCCAAGATTTATGTTACAAATTTTGTAATGTTGTTAACGCAGTATGCACTTTCTAAGAGCATATCGTAGTTTTATATATTATATAAGGAAAATGTTATAGATTTTAAATTCTTTTATTAAATAAATAATTTTATATAAAAGAAAATGTTATAAGTCTTAAATTTTTTATTAAATAAATAATCAAATGTCTTACATGGGTGTGGAAAGTGGATCCACAGTGAGACCTTTAATCATTTATTTGATAAAAAATTTAGGGTTCGTTTGGTTTGAATTTCCCAAAAATTTTTGGGAAAATTTCTCTACAAATGAGTTTTCAGAAAAACTCAAACCAAACAAATTTTCCCAAAAAAATTTCCCAAAACTTGTAAACCAAACAAGTTTTCCAAACAAATCTCTCTCTCATACACATCAAATCAATTACTTTTTCCAAAACTCTCTCTCAAAATAATTTTCCAAAACATCTTTCCAAAAAAACCAAACCAAACAACTTTTCGTACTTTTTATCTCCCAAACTCATCTCCCAAAATCAAACCAAACAAACCCTTAATATCTCCACCATTACTCTTATATAAATATGTTTGTTGGCCTCCTTCATTCAGATAATTTTGTTTTTCCTTTCCAACATGTTTCTTCAATAGTGTTTCACTTTTATCAATTTTGTCAGGCTTGGTTGGTGTTTTCAATTAAATGGTTAAAACCCTTGGATGGATAATTGGGTTATATTTATAATTAAGTTGGCTTGTATCTCCCCATTAACGACACACATACCAACTTAATTAATTACAATCACATCCCTTAATCAAATTCTATGCGGTGTTTACTCTTTTTCCCAAAATTATACAAGTTTTCTAACATGATATTTTCAAAATATAAAACCCCCAGCTCATAATC